CAATGCATTCTTAAAAATAAAAACTCCATCCTCATGATACAATTCGATACATTTTGAGTACATTTTTTACAACAGTGAAAACCACAAGTTTCTACCGTATTTCTATCAAAAGTAATTCAAAAAACACTGCCAGTTTTTCTTTTTTGAAATGAGCATTAGTGAGATATTCTGTGAGAGTTCAATGCAATGAGGCATGATTGAAGCTAATACTTTTTATACAGGTTGAAAAAGCAGTTAGTACAATTTTTGTGGGATCAATACGCAGGACATGATATAGCTTCTGCTTTTTGCCAGGGGTATATTTTATTTTATATATCTTGAAACACATTTCTACAAACTCTCTTTTACGTAATTGTCCAAAAATATGATGAACAAATAGTGCATTTTTATAATGAGACGGTGATATTGTTTATATCAATCAAAATAATTCTTTTTAGCTTTTTTCATATGTACTTGTAGGCTCTTGGAACCTGTGATGTTCCACTCTCTAACGTGTGATATCACAAGTGATGGAACAAACTTTTCAGGTTAGAAACGAAAGAGACAACAAGAAAAATTATTAGGACTATAAAGAAAAGTCAAACATGACTTTACTTTCTATTCTGTACGGAGTTACAGAATAATAAATATTTGCACGTAATTACCAAACATTGTTCTGTAATTTCGTATAGGAAGCAAAGAAAATAATGTGTTATTTTCATCATAGCTGTAGAAATTTTTCTGTTCTCTTTCGTTTACAACGTCGATATGTCAGTTCACTAATGGACATTCGCCTCTCACAAATACAATGTATCACATTTTCTTTTTTTTTTTATGATCGACTTTTTTGCTTGGAACAAAAAAAAGACACCGAAAGTACACCTATAAAATTGTCAGTTTTTCCTACATAAAATTATATCTTCCTTCATTTTATCTAAGAAAATACTTCCCTACAATGCTCATAATGAGTACTGGGAACTTTTTCAAGGAATTCAAAATAAGAGTAATCGACATTTTATTTATATATAGCAGCTTGAAAATATTTTTTGTACTATAGCCAAGCTGAGTAGGTCATTCAATGTAGTTGTTAAGGCTGATACCCCTCGAATGCTCGTTTAAAGGGAAAAATGGGTTTTGATCTTGAAAATCCAATCGTAAACTTTTTCAAAAAAAAAACTCCGGCATTTAACATTTTACAGTCAAATAATGAGTTCTATTCGAGTGAGTCAGCCACCGAAGAATTCTACCTCAAAGAGGCAACTTCTTCAGTATTGGTCGCATTCAAGACGTACAAGCACTTTTCTTTTCTCTTTCATAGGAAGAAAAAACCGTGTCTTTCATTTGCTTTGTGTTGTCTTTTATTTACACATCTTCTCACTTTACGCAACATGTCTTTCTTACGAAACAACAAAACAAATATTTTCATCAAATTACGAGTAAGAAATTTATGTGTAGAAATAGTTGAATCCATTGAAGTCGCTCATTGTCTGGAATACAAATGAACCATTTACATGAACTTGAAATTAAGTTAAAGTTCGTTACTTAATCATTACGAGGGGATCCATGAGAAAATCGAAGATTACTCCAGTAAATGAAATAGTAGTCAAAATTTTTATTTTTGTTTTTGTATGTGAATTCAAAATGTGATTTTCTGAAACCATGAAACCCGAATTTTTAGTTCATTTGAATGAACTGCAGTAAAGTTAGGTAATACCGACTTTTGAGCACTGCCAATCTTCAATCAACAAAATAGATGAAAATCGTTCCTTAATATTTATCAAGATTATAATTCAACAAGTCAGAGAATTTTTCCATGCAATTTTAACTAATAGATAAACCATCGAAAGCTAAAAAAAAAATTATTTAAATTATTACACATCATGTATCTATTAGAGTTTTGTAGTCCAACATTAGTCAGAAAGGTTTCAATTAATGAGTGAATAATGGTTTGTGTTTGATAATAGATTTGCTGCCATTTTTAAAAAAAAATGGTACCAGCTTTTTAATAGATCGTGTAACTTTTTATTCTCTATAAAAACTAAAAAAATACTGAAAGAAAAAGTTTACCTTCGGTACGAACGAAGTTTACATCTCTCTCTTAAATTAGTGATTTTTGATGTTTTTTTCAGAATAAAAAAAAACACTTTAAGCAGCTTTTATTGCTACGGCACGATTGCACAACAAAATAAATGTGACAATCAGAAAGAGCGTTAACAACTAAATTAAGTGCAACACATTTCACAGGAATGATGTTTCCTGTGAAAAAAAACTACCTACGGTCTTCCACGACTGTATTTTGCTCAAATTTTGTTTCTTGCTGTCCAAGAGTTGTTTTTTCGCAAGAAAGAAAGTTCTCTGAAGTATATCTGACTCGGAGTAGTTTTTGACGCTACTTTTGAATGTCATATTTATGTTCCTTTTCAATCGTGTTATGGTAATGAAAACCGCTAAAAATGTTTTTTTATTGCTTTTGAAAAATCTTAAAAAATCACTATCTAAGAGAATGTGAGTAGGTTTATCGCTGTATGTATGCGAATGTTCAACTTACCTTTTACCTACAATCTGTTCCATAGAGAAGGCTACATCTCTAATTCATTCCCTTAGATTCGATTGATTTTACAAAGATTCCTATATGAACTCATATTAATTTCTCTCGGATTCTAAATACAATTATCACATGAAATCACAATTGATGCAATCTCGGTCAGTGTTTATTTTTTGTTAAACATTTTCGTTTTTTTTAAATCTTGTTTAGACAGAAGAAATCAAGTTCAATTTATCCTAATAAAAATCTATATTTTCACAAACAAGTACCTCGACGGGATCCTGTTTGTGACTCCTACGTCTCTATTACCTGCTATAGGTTCATATGTGTCATGGTGTCTTTATCCACGAGGAAATAAATGTAATATAATTAAAGTACATTCTTCAGCGGATTAACAGACTTTATTTCGTCATTGTCATCAAAAACTAAGTGTTTAAAGTTTTCATACTTATAGAAACACATTTCGGAGAAAGGAATCACATATTGTCATAGCACTTGAAATTCTCTTTTAATCCTATATGTTTATCTATTAGTATGCAGTTTTTCGTTGAGCACATGGATGCAATCAACAAAAAAAATGCATATGATGATAGTAATTTTCAAGCATTATCTGAATATGTCATTGATTTTTTTAAAGATATTATTTCAATTATGAAAAACTTAAAAAATTTTTCTCTCACATAAATGCAAACTAAAATACAAATATACAGAAAATATTTTAACTATGTGCAAGTGTCTTTTAAAACGTCTTTTTATGGTACTGATATATTTCAAATATGGACAAAAGATAGTTTCTTCTGAACATATATATCAGCAAAAAAATACACCAGTATAAATCAGAGAGTTTTCGGAATTTTTTTAAAACTAAAACATAGGTGTAATTTGCTGGAATCCACATTCCAAGAAAAGAATTCGCGAAAGGTTTCATTTTTTTCTTTGACTAACAACAAGACTGATTAAAAGAAAGTATAATGCCGGAGAATTTTTTGTTGACTTTTCATTGATTCATTTATTCATTCAAGTCTTACAAATGTTTTCCCTCGGTTTATTGTCGACTTAAGTGGCCATGATAGAGAAATTCGTATACTGAGTTCAGATATATTTTCATCGAATAATAGCTTGTTTCGGCATACATCGATTTATTTTAAAATACTATTTTTGTTCTCAAAATGAACTTTTGATATGTCCGAGACTATTGAAGTTGATCGAGATCTATGTAATTATTAAGCCATAAGTTTATGAGTCCATTGATGATTGATATAGGATGGTTAAAAACAAGACTTATCTCCTTCCGCAACACTCTTTCTGTTCTTTTAAGACTTGAATTTTTAATTGAAGTATTTCTGCGATAATATAAATTCATTACGTATGAAATCGATGCTGAAAATGTATATCCTCACTGAAAAGCAAACAAAAAGACCTTCTCTAACAATGACTGTTGATTTCAAACTTGGTATAGCTAATGAGTAAGCGGTCTACTCAGAATGTAAAGCATTTTGAGTTAAAAAAGAATTCGTTTTTCAAATAGCTTTTTATCTTCAGACAATTGCTTTAGTTTAATGCTAATTGTTGCTCTGTAATCCTCTATTATACCATATTTTGCTTCAGATTATGCAACCAAAATTTATGCATATTTTTTTACATATTGTTATTGTCATTGAAACACTTTATCTACAACATATACTCGATCATAATTAAAATTAATTCAGTGATAAAAGAATCGAATTAGTACGATAGATTGCTTTATGAAAAAAAACACATAATCCCGCTATTGTACGGATATTTTACTAGTCTTAGCAAAATGACAATTTTCTTCTACAACTTATGTTTACTTAATCTGTCAACGTCTAGCAAATAACTTGAGAATTTTAGATTATTAAACTGTTTCATAATCGAATAATTGAAAACTTCACAAAGGATCGAAACAATAGAAGAAATGATTTCGTTCCGAAATAGATTTTATTATATTCTTTTGAATTGATTTTTTCTGCTAACTAACGGTAAAATATTCTCAAAAGAAAAACACTATTAATTAATAGTCTTTGTCGAACTCTATCTATTGCGAAATAGATCGATTCAAAAAAACGAATGTTATGAACTCAGAAACTGCGTGCCCATAGTGGATAAGTTTTTTGTTCGACGACTCTGTGTAATTTTATTTCTGTTAAACACAGATGGAGTTTTATTTGAGATAGTTGAACAAAATTTACTTCTGATCATAGATCAAGCATATTGAATAAATCCCTTTAAATTATTTCTTCGTAAATATTTATATGAATTTATTTTAGATCGAAATTGTTTCAGTTATTCTCAAAATAAATTATATAATTTGACTGATGTTCTAAGACAAATGGCAACAGTAAATGAAACCAATTTATGCTCGATTTGCCATAAACCTTCAGTTAAATACTTTTGCATTGGATGTAAAAAATACTTTTGTCCAAAAGACTTCAAGGAACATGAACAACAATTATCGATGAAATTCGACAACGAAATAGTAAGATCACACGATGAACTTCTTGATCAAATAGAAAAGTTAGAAAAATCAAATTATTTATCATTGGATCTTTTTGCTCAAATTGAACAATGGAAAAAAACAACAATTAACAAAGTAGAAAAAGCAGCAGAAAGAGCTCATCATGAACTTATTGAACTAATCGATAAAAAAAGAGTCAAAATAACAGAACAACTTGAACCAATCACAAAAGAAATTCGTTGTCATCGAGAAGAAGAAACTTTTGTTGAGAATGATATTGATCGACTTAAACAAAAACTGAATGAAGTCCAGGAAACACTTCAAAAATTTATTCGAAAAGATACAACTAAAACCATTATTATTGATGATGATCGAATTGATTGGAATCGGATCATCTACATTCAAGGAGAACAGCAAAACTGTGAGTATGTTGAACTAAACAAAAAGAAAAATAGAAATTCTCCAATATTCGTATCGTATCGATTAGAACAGTCTTTCATTCTTTTTGAGGTTTCAGAAACTCGAATCGTTTAACAAACTCTATTCGAAGAAAGTCAAAATATTTTCAAGATCTTCTGTTTATTCATGCATTTTATTGTTTTTTATGGTTCCTAATTGTAAATATTACACTTTCAACAATAAGCAGAATATTGACTTTATTCATTTGCAAACACTTACTCCAATCTATGAATATTTCATCTAAAAACTGAATAAACAAAGTCATCGTTGAAATTTCAAAAAAGAGAAATTGTTTTCGAAAGTCTAATGAATAGTAAAATAAGAATCATTCTTGAAGACTTTCATAGATCTAGATGACTTTTATTTAATACCATATTCTTTGAATTTTCATTCGTTCGAAAATAATTTCATTAATGAAATCATTTGAATTATCGAGAAATATTTGAAATTCAACTTTATAATGAATTATTGAATAGTGATAAAATAAATAATGAATTCAACATTTCCATACGAAGTAAATTTTCGAGTTACGGCGATTGTTTATTCAATAGGGACAATATTCGTACACTGAATGATTGAATAGTTCGAAAATAGTCCAACATTTTCTCTACACTCAATCGAGTTAAGTTGAACGAAAAGATAATGTTCTACTATTTTTCTTTATAAGTGATTTAAATTGATGGATGAACTACATTTCTACAGATATGCCACTCTTCAGTGTTCATAGAATGAATATAATATTCCTTCAAATATGAAAGAGTTCAGATAATTGTTTCTTTTTCAAACTTTTGCAAATGATCGATTTATACATTGCAAGGACTAAATGATTGGTTTAAATTTCCACAATATTTTTCCAGTTTCTATTAAAAGAGCTATGGGAGATTATGAAATTAATGGACATATTTTACGAAATCTGCTGATTGAGGTGTTTGGAAATTATTTGCAGTATCTTCTGTGTCATCCATAGTGGAAACTCTAGAGTCGTTATGAAAGTTTAAGTGAATTTTCTACAACTTCATAAAAACTGTCATACAAATCAATGAAATTGTCTTTTGTTACAGCACCGTTTCTACAAAGTGCAAATCTGAATATAAACGCAAAATGGATACAGAATGGTGTCACTGTGGCTGGAGGAAATGGACGAGGTAGCGAAATAAATCAATTGAGTGATCCATGCAGTCTATGTGTGGATGATAATCAATCTGTCTACATTGCTGACTACTGTTGTTATCGTATTGTGGAATGGAAATGTGATACGATAACTGGTCGAGTTGTGGCTGGTGGAAATGGGAAAGGAAACCGTTCAGATCAATTAAGTGGTCCGACAGATGTGATTATGGACAAAGAAAGAGATAGTTTCATCATTTGCGATTATGCAAATAAACGAGTTGTTTGTTGGCCTCGTCAAAATGGTACTAATGGAGAGACAATCATCTCAAATGTTGGATGTCATGGCTTGACAATGGACGATGATGGATCTCTCTATGTTGCTGATTTTGATAAGCATGAGGTCAGAAGACATGAAATGGGAGAAAACCAAGGAACAATAGTTGCAGGTGGAAATGGATCAGGAAGCCGTCTCGATCAGTTGAATTATCCTAGATATGTCTTCGTCGATCAAGATCATTCAGTTTATGTATCAGATTGCGGCAACCATCGTGTGATGAAGTGGATGAAAGATGCAAAACAAGGTATTGTTGTGGCTGGTGGTCAAGGACAAGGAAATAGTCTTACACAATTATCACAACCTTATGGAATAGTCGTCGATCAATCGGGTACTATTTATGTGGCTGATTGTTTGAATAATCGAATAATGCGTTGGGTTCAAGGAGCTACACAAGGAAGTGTCATCGTTGGTGGAAATGGTCAAGGAAATCAATCAAATCAACTCCAGGGCCCTACTGATTTGTCATTTGATCGTGAAGGCAATCTCTATGTGAGTGACAGTAGAAATCATCGAGTACAAAAGTTCAACATTGATCGAAGTTGATGATTAGCACTGCTTTAACGTTCTCATCATAATCTTGAACAAGTGATCGAAGAACAGAGCCATTTTAAATCGAATTATCTTATCTTTAGACACAGATCATCACGAATTAAATAGAATAAAATCATTTTCAATTAGGTTGCTTCAGAAAATCCTGTTTTGTATATTCTAATATGGTCTAGATGTTCTGGTTTGCCATTTAGTTAGAACACTTGTTATTCGTCTTTGAGCGTTCTTCAAATTTCCAAAAATTGCTTTTGAAACTGGCAAAAGTCGAAGATAATTTGAAGTTCATTCTATCGAACAGTTGAAATTCCCGATATGCCGTGCGCTTTAAAGTATTAAAATTATCGATGAAAGAAAAATGTGTCTTTTTCAAACATTGGTATTTATGAAGGGGAGGAAAAGATTGTGTACTCTCGACTGTTGTTTTTGATAATATGAAAGGCCATTATGTAGAAATATCATATCAGATATTCATCAAAAAAGGGAGACAACGTTTCTTTATCACCAAATTAAATATTGGTCACATTGTGGTATAATAAACGATTACTTTAATGCAACTGGTAATCAAGTGTGTTTCACTTTGTCATCCGACACTCAGAGAAGAATTGATCGGGATCGAGAACATGACCCATGTCTAAACTGATGAACGATATTGAAAGATGATCGAATTCCTCGTACCCATCATTTGCTTTAATGAACTATGCGGTTACATAGATCTATTGATCACTTCGTACAGTAACATAGCGCTGAAAATCTTACTGTATTACTAGGACTAATGTCAAATACATGAATAATAGCAACATTTCACTCGATCATTTTTCCATCGACCATGGTGATTAACGACAGTTTCATACAATAAAAATAGTAGCTTTTGCATTTCTGACTTATGGTCACTAGACAAAAATACAAGTCCATTCAATAGGAAAAAGATTGTTTGCTTGACTTTTCACATTCAAATAAGACTCACTATATTTGTTTGTATGTGATAAAATTAGAAGAGAAATCCAAATGAAAATCGAAGAGATGAATTTTCATTGCACAATTAAACATGGCAGGTTATTCTTTATCTTTGCCAAATTTCTAAAAATATTCTGAGAAAACGTTAATTATTATTATTGTGACGTGATTCACAATTTTTGTTGACCGAATGTTTAGTCGATGTGAGATGAAGCTTCATTTATAATGTGACAGAAAAAGTGAAGGTGCTTGTTAACAAGTTCTTCTCCCTCAGTAAAGTCAGACGGTGGTTAACGATTAATAAGACTTTCTCAAATATTTCAGCGTTATAACGAATTCATTCTTTGCTATGAAAACTTGTAAATGATCAGTGCGGATGTTGATACAAATGCTTTTCTATTAAAATCTGAAAAAAACAAAATAACTTGGTGAAGTTTCGAAGGTGAATATTGAAGTGATACAGTTTTTAAATATGTTCTGTGATTTCACAAATTACAGAACAATTTATTTTTTTCTAACCTTTGGTTTTTTTGAATGATAACGCGTTCTTCCTATGTTCTCTCTTTCTTTCAGGTTTTCGAAGGGTTGAATGTAAATTCTGGTCTTCTCTTTACGTGTAATCACGCCCACACTCTCGATCATATTTTCATAGAATAACATTCCACCATTTCGATCCTGGTCACACACTTTATCTGAATCATTCACCCCTTCTCTTCAATTTTATGTTAACATTCGAAACGATCTATTATAGTTACTTATTCCCTCACATTCTGATATTTTGAATACTAATCTCGACTTTGACAATTGTACATAATAATTAAGTGCGAACTTGAAATAAGTGATATGTTACTCGGAATCACAGAGACACATGCAGTTCTCGTTATAACAATTAGTCAGACGAATGTACAAAAACTGATTTATCTCAAGTACATTATAGCAAAGGACAAACCTAAGTAACATGTTGTGCATTATTGTAGTAGATGACTACAGTTATGAATATGAGATTTTCAGTCTGTAAAACTAACTGTTGTTTATTTTTTAATCTTCACATACATGTACTTCGAAGAAAAAACTAGTACATATCTGTATATATATATGATCATACACGGCAAACAAAAGAAGAAGAATATAAGTGAATAAAATAACCAATATAGCGAGAAGAGAGGTAGTGCCTCACAGATAGCGCGTCACTACCTAATACGAATGATTCATATATTTGCTTTGTTTTATTGAATATAATAAAAACAAATAAAATTCATACCCATCTGTATTCTTTCTTATTTTTTTATGCCATTGATAACGACGATAATGTCCGAAGCTATAGTAAATGTAACTGAATCTTATAATACATATTCTCAACCTCAGTTAGCTGCAATTGATTTATCTATTTCATTTATTCATCAAGCAATTGATGCATTAGATATTGATAATTCATTATTAAATAATTTATTAATTATAGCTGATTTTGATACATCTCATGGTGCAAAATTCAATTTATGCTATAAAATTAATAATTAATTATTTACGTGAAAAAGAAAAAAATTTTTCAAGAACCTTTAATTATTCATAATGATCTTCCAACAAATAATTGAGAAAAAGTTTTTCAACTTATTCTTATAAAGCTGTAGCTAGTGGTCATTCATTTTACGAACAATGTTTACCTAATAATTCTCTTTCAATTGGTTATTCATCAACATCAATACAATGGTTATCAAAAAAAAACTATGTAATATTTCAAATCATTGTGTTTCTTAATATACTATTGATGATGAATTATTAGCATTTAAGGGGACCCCCCCCCCCCCCCCCTCAGAAATGAAGTCCCACTTGGAACCCTCCGTTTGGGCTGAAATTTTCAGGAATGATTGATCTTAGCGAGAAACGTTTGTGATAAAAATTTCAGCTTGACATGTCCGACTAAAACGCAATTTCGGCTGAGTTTCCTACCTTTCGGGAGAATCGAAATAACTCGGTCCAGAGAAGGGATATAGAGCTCGAGCTGGTTTCAAATTGTAGCTAGCCTCTGTACGCAACTTTTCATCGGACGGAATTTTGAAACTTCCTTCCATTCATTTTTTATGAGCAATTTTGTGAGCATGCTTGCAAAATAAGCATAAAAAAGTGTGATTCTACGACAGCAAATCCCACTATTCTTAGTCCTGGGATTCAATATCAAAAATCCGTCCGATGAAAAGTTAGCTCTAATCAAGACCTTTAAAACAAAAAAAATATCACGGATTATATGCCTAGTCGAGCGGGAGTTATTTCAATTTTTTTGTCTAGAAACCGTGTTTTGAGAAAAATGCTAAAGAACTTTTGGAGATGGATTTTTTCATTAAAATCCAGAATAAGTCATGTTGCAATGGTGTATTCCACTGGGGCGTCTGAAAGGACGTCACAGATGATGGCAACTAGCACCATCTGACATTGTGATCAGCATGAAAATGTTCTATTCCACGATAATGCTAGTGGAAACGCAATTTTTCTGAAACTGGAACCCTAAAAAACCCATGAAGTTTTCTACAAAAACATGGTAGTGGATTTTAAGTTTCATGCGATAAGTCTTTGATAATCTGATCATTTTCCAAAAAACTATATATATTCTGAAAGAGGAAGCTTCGTTGCATCTTCCTGTAATAAAAACTCAACTTCAATATTTTGCCAAAAAAAATCGATTTTCTGAGGGGGGGGGGTCCCCTTAAATCACAAGCACGTATAGATTATATGAATTTTTTCTTAAAAATCGATCATATGAATTAATACCAGATGGTATTCTTATTCTTGTTATACCTTATCTTAATGAACAAGGACAATGTGGAAATCAAAATGCAAAAAATCTTCTTTATAAATGTGCTTAAGAAATTTGTTTAACATCAGAAGAATTATATAATTATACAATTTCATCATATATTCGTTCATATAATGAATGTGTTGATGAAAAACTTTTTAATCAATATTGATTACAATTAATAAAAGTTGAACTTCATAATAGTACAATAAATTTCTATGAACAATTACAAATTAAACAAATAACACTTGAAGAATTTGCACAAAATCGAACAGAATTTATGTGTCCTTGGTGTGAATCAATATTGAAAATAGCTCTCGAAATGAATAAACAACGTTTAAAAGAAGAAATTAATCAACTTTTAAATCAATATTGAACTATATATATAATTCAAAAATAAAAGAAAAATCAGATGATTATAAATCCTATTTAAGTTATACTTATTTTATTTTTTCAAAAAGAATTTTATTCTAAATAAAATTTCATTTCTACTATATGTAGATGTAATTAATTGTTTGATTTTGTTTTTCAAAATGAAAGAAAACAATCAAGACAAATATTGATGTCAATACTAACATCAATCATGTGTAAATCTTGAAATGTATGTAAAACTTATTGTAAATAAATTCTCGTATTTTTATATTTGACGACGTTTAGTTCGACTAAAGTTTCTATTTGAATTTTTTCTTTCATTAATAAAATTGACTCAATCAGGATCTATAAAGTGAATTCTGCACTATTAATTAATATATAACACTTTTAAATTTGACAAAAATACGAGACTACGCAATCACTTCGATATTTGATCTTAATATTTTTGACTTTTGTATATAAGTATTCATAACATTTAAAACTAAATACTAAAGATCAAAACGAAAAATATACTTTCGAACGGGTCCATATGAATCTTTGTTATTTGATAAACATCCATCAGTCAAAACTAACTTTGATTTGAGTGCATCAGAAAACATCATCAAATGAGATTTTAAAAATTTATTAATGATAAATTTTTCAAGTATTGAATTGAAAAATGTAGTATGAGAAAATATTTTATTTTTAAAGGGATAGAAATTTCCACAGAGATAAAACTTCTTGAATTCTAATCTTGTTGATAATGTTCATGCAAAAATATGATTAGACTATTACATAGTTAACATCGTTGTTATTGTTATTCATGTTTTATTGATCGTAATTCACGGTACATATCAATCAGAATAGTATTTCATTTCATCGATATAAATACTCGAAATAA